AGTATGTTATTGCTCATAATAATGGTGGGTAGAGGTTAGGGTCTGTTGTCCTAGTTGTTCTGGGAGTTAGCTTTTTTTTCCCCTCTCAAGTCTCAGATAAGCTATTCTCCATAACTAAATAGGTCACTCTATACCCACAGGTTGAATGTTGGACATACTGACCTTACATTAAGAGTTTGTCTAGATAGAGTGTAAATCACTAATTTACTAAGTATTTTTCTACTAAGTTGGTTTTAGTGGTTACACAAATGTCTCTATATACATCCTTATATAGTCATTGATTTAGTTTCGAATCAATATATTAACCCAAGTATGGTTTCTCCATCCCCAACTTACCATACACCACAGTAACCAGGATGACATATCAACTAGTGTAGGCAATAAATTCTTTAAAAATTCCTAGTTTACAAAACTGTATTTTCAAAAAATCTGTTACTTCTACTCATTGCCATTGAGCACTCCTCTCCCAGAGCTATTAATATCATAGAAATAAGAAAATACTATGTGTGGGATGAAAATTCGAGAATTTTGGCAAAAAATTTTGTTTTAATTAAAAAAGCAATATTTTAAAGTTTTGTATGATCAATAAAGAAAGAAGAGAAAGATAAGGGTGGAAAACTAAAAAAAAAACAAAAAAAGAGTTCATGACCAAATGGGGAAGGAGTAGAATTTATTTAAATTAAGATTTCATCTGACTTTTCGTTTGATACTAACATCTTTGTAATCCTAACCCCGTATATATGAGCTAATTCAAACACATAAACATATAAATGTTTAATTATAATTTAAAACCATCTTTATTCCAAATTACAAAAAAGATTCATAAATAAAACTTCACTGAATTAACTTTATAAAGAACAGCAGACCTTATGCCAGTGAATTCTCAAATTTAAATTTAAAAAAGTGAGCGCGGAACAGAACCTGTGAGTACCTGTGCCTTAAAAACCAAGAGGTTCATACAGCTGAAGAAAGACTAAAATAACCTCGTGCTATAACAAGAATAGCAACACCAAGATTAAAAAGCCAGATTTACATTAAGCAGATACCTTCTATGTTTGCTTTTAAAGTTACCTTGGGAAAATGTAAGCAAAGTCACTACTAAGAGTTATAAATACAACTGCATTTACTTTAGAATGTGTACACCTATCATGCAAATTCCTGTTATGGTGTTTATTCATAGGAGTCTCCTGAGAATTCTGAATTCTTTAAGTAGCCCACAAAGTTCACACAGATCTCTTTTTATAATGGTGGATTTTGGATTGACCCACTTACCTTTAGTGTATAAGAATTCCAACCCACAAAGTTGGGTTAATAGAGACTCACTCTAACAAGGTTCCTAGTAAAATAAGGTAGGGACAAGCAAAGAGACAAGGGACATTTAGAAAATAAATAATCTTGGGTGATAGTCCTTAATTGGTAAGGGAAGAGGTCAGATATAGCAGAGTGATGGACGAAAAAAAAAAAGGCTTTGTCTTTAGAGAAAATTTAATGAATTAGGAAACTGCAAACATTTAAATTTCTATAGTTACTTTTACTATGTTTATGAAATTCATTCCCATTTAATGCAGATCTTAAATGTCTTATGCAACAAGTAACATTCTTTGCTAATTCTGAGATTATCTGAACTGCTATCTTTCAGAAATATTCTCTTGAGACAAAACAAATTTTCTTTGGCCAGAATGACTTAACTGGCTTACAGCAAACCCATCACTAAGATCTGTACTTCCAGTAAAGATTTTGCAAGTATAGCTTACTTTCTTGGTGTTGCAATAATGAATCCCTGTCTGTTTAGAGTTATTTTTACTACTCCCAGGGAGTAGACTATTCTAACTTTCACTTCTTAGTTTTTGTGATTAAAAAAATAAGTTGAAAAAATAAGGCCAACTTCTGTCAAATATCTAACTTTTGACTATTAAAAATATAACTGATTGTATATCAGAAAGCCTGAGTACGCTCATTTTTATTTTATTTCTTCAAACTTGACACACACAGTCCTTTAGTTCTTTTTGTTTTTAACTCCAACTACCTCATTATACTAAATTAAAAATAAGTAATTTAAGATAAAAATCTTTGAAAAAAAAAACAAAGCAAAGCTTGGGGGAAAGTCATCCATAAATAAAAGTTGAAGAAAGAATTAAACCTACAAAAACACATTTTACAATAAAAGGTTATGAGAGGGTCTCAAAAACAGATACATGCAAATAACCCAGAATAATCTCCAGAAATTCTAGTAAAATAAAAGTCTAAAAACCAAAGGACACCAGTAATTATTCTGTTTTTTAGATATCCAGGAACAACATTAAAACATTAATATCTGTTAAGATTCCTACTAAGAAATCTGATTAATGAAAATGGATCTTGTGTATGTGTAAATATACATCTACCCTCCAATCAAAGTAAATGTCTTTTAAACACTTTTAATGTTAGTATTCACCTCTCAGAAGAAAGAATTATCAACACAAGCGTCACTAAACGTCTAAGAGATGCATTTTTAGCAAAGGCAGTCATCACTTTTCATGAAGCAATAAAAATGGCAATTTCTACCTGCAGAGAGCACATACAGAATAATCACAACTTTTAATACCCGCCAGGATCATATTGTATGGGTCTAAATTAAGAAACCTCAGTAAGAGACAGTCCATGACCTCTAATGTGGCAAACAGATAAACATCTAACTTCTAAACTTTAGATCTGCTGTTCTCAACCGTAACTCCTGACTCTACTCCCACCACCCTGCACCCACAGTGATGTCAGTCTCCTGCCAGGCCCCTGCTGCAAGTGCATGTACTCAGAGCACAAGAAATACAGGCTTTGCTGCTACCTGGAAGTAAAGTTCACATATGAGACACTGCCTTACATTTCTGTTTTGTGTCAAAAGTAGCATGTCTGTTTTCTACCACTTTTCCCTATTATTTCCTTTTGTCCTCACACTAACTCCAGAGTTTGGCAATTTTAGTATTACTCCCACTTCAAAGACCCTGAGATGGGAAAATAAAGCTTCTCTATCTGATCCAGTTAGTGAATGGCAGGACCCGGAGCCTTCCCCACATCACCTCTAGCTTCAACGTTCTCTCAACCCAATGTTTTCACAATTTCAAAATTTCAACTAATAACCTAGGCAAGATAACCTACAGCAGACCCCCCTTCCATATCACTTGTACAGAGATCACCACTTCTATAAATTCCTAAGCAGTGTTGGGATATGCCAAAGAAATGTTTAAGATGAAAGCATCTTAGGGACGCCTGGGTGGCTCAGATGGTTGAATGTCTGCCTTCGGTCAGGTCATGATCCCAGGGTCCTGGGATCGAGCCCCGCATCGGGCTCCTGGCTCGGCAGGGAGCCTGCTTCTCCCTCTCCCTCTGCCTCTCCCCCTGCTCATGCTCTCTCTCTCTCTGTCTCAAATGAATAAAAAAAAAAAAAAATTAAGATGAAAGCATCTTAGGTCACCCCCCAAATTTTAATGAGTCTTAGCATTATTTCATCAGTAATTTCCAACCTTTTCCCTACCATGCCACAAATAGAAAATGATAGTATGTGTACAGCCCACTGCTTAAGACCAGACCTGAAAAACCAGGAGTTTCCAGCAGCTCTAAGCCCTGCCCAGCCACTCCAGGGAGTACGAGGAGCCCACACTCCTCTACCTCCGTGCTGCTGTGCAGAGGCCTGCCAGCTGGCAAACCCTGATTTACACCTCTAAAATTCCCACCATCTATTCCCGCTGGGCCAGACAGAAAGGTATAGAAATCAGAGAAGTAATAAAAAAAAAAAAAAAATTACAGCAAAACCTCAAGATCTAACACTTTACAGAGACAGTGGGGAGTTTCCTTTTGCTAACATTGACTTTGGGACATGCCCACTCAGCACCCCTTAGAGGCTGTGGGCAAATTATACCCCAGTTCTGCTAGGTATCATGGTAGAAGCTACCTGAAGAGCCAGAATTGTCAAATGAGAATTAGTTTAATACGGTAAATCTACCACTACCAAAATAAAAAACTCTAAAAAACTAACAACTAGGTAAGATCTTCCCATATATTAAAGAGTATCCTTTGCTTTAACAGCCACATCTTAAAGACTTGAGAGTTTTTCTAGGTATTACTATTTTTTAAATAAGGGAAAACAGAAAACATATCTAAAATCTTACCATCATCTTTAAACCAACACAGTATCTAATACCACACATATTCCATTACCTAAGTAGCTTTTTTTTTTTAAATCTTTTTTGTCCTTTTTCTGGCTTTTCCTCTCCCTTTTTGCTTTTCTTCCTAGCTCTTGTTTTTTACTAAAGCATTTTTATGTATATCAAATGTACTTGATTTGAGAAAAACAATCAGTGCTTGAATTAGAGTAAAAAGCACAGGATTAACAACCCATTAAAATGCACAAGACTAAATGTGAATGTATCTGTTTATTTACAGCTTTTGATGTTTAAAATTTCAAATAAAATGATCTGTCCAATTGCTATAGCTTTAAAAAATAAATCATTTTTCCATTCTCTTCTAGAAAAAGCTGCAGCACAAATTAACAAAGAGTAGTGAAAACATAATTACATTTAAAACATAATTTAGGAAACATTATGTACCTCTTTCAGATTAGTAAGCATAATATGTAACTGTTGGTAACAAAAGCCAACAAGAATGAAATACAGGCATTTATATCTTATGTTTGCATGCATCTTATAAAGACAACAAAAAACAGTAAGTTTTAAATTTTTACCAGACATGAATATAAACATATAAATAGGCAAAGCCTCCCTTTATTTTTACCCAAAATTTTTCTTCTATAGTCAGTAAAATATTTTTACTTTTCAAAAGTATATGACAGCTGTCAGTACAAATCTCTCACTTCTTTAACATGTACTTTTCATTCTATGATACACACAGTTTAGATATTGCGATGCATTTTAAAATGGAACAATTGAATGCCAAACCCAAGCTGCTTCAATGTAACTAGAGAAGACTTAAAGCTAGCACTGTATCATAGCGAATTGCAGCATACATACTGTATTGCCCCGTGCTAGTCTGATATATGCTAGTCGGTACTGCCATGGTAGCGATGTTAGGTGGCGTTCCTTCTTCCTCTGATTTTTCTTCTTCAATCTTGGGAACACCAGGCACGTCAGAGGAAAGTTCATTCAGTATTTTTCTAAAACATAATTTGACAACAGAAATAATCAAGATATATGAATGAGATTTAAGACAGAAAAGCTATAATGGAAGAATTGGTTTGATACATAATCATTCTCTCTTTCTGGAAAAGGTATCATTATAGTAGGAAACTTAAATAACTTACCGATAAGAGGGTCTTCGTGAAAGGATTTCTCTACGTTTATGAGAATCAATTACACCTTCTGATTCTGCAGACTCATCTTTCTCTGCAATTGTTGCTACCTACAATACAAGAGTTTCTGAAATGCATCATAAAATATATGATCTCCTTCATTCAAAAAATGGTGCTTAAGGGTCTAGGTGTGCAGCACTAAGCCGGGTGCTGGGAAAGCGTCCAGCAACAGAACACACTGCACCTGCACTACTGCAGCTCACACCTGGCTTTAGCAAAGGGAGCAAAGACACCCACACTTCAGCTGCAGAGCAGGTATGTGTGGACAGGAATGGTTCGGATAATAAATGCTACAGAAAGGCAAATGAAAGTGGTTGGCATGGCAGGTGAAGCTTCACAGGAAAGGACTACCCACATGTAAGATACCGAAGACTTAAGATCTCCACCCTAAACCTACTCTTAGAAATCCAGCGGGGATTGAGTGAGCTAGTGACAGAGGCAGAAAAAAGGATCTCAACCTCACTGCCCTCTTCACAATACCTCAGCTGACTTGAGTTGGGTCTTCAAACTAGACATTAGATAGGTTCAAAGAAGCAAACAAGTAACCAAGCCTGATTAAAGTTAGGATTTATAGGACAAGAAGTAGTGTGGGGCTTGATGCTGCTTAAGTCTTGAAGGTCAAAATAAGGAATTTCTCCTCAAAAGAAAGATCAGAGTTTTAAGCATGATTTCATTTTTCGAGTCACATAATAATCACAGGATTTCTTTCTTTTTTTTTTAATCACAGGATTTCAAGGAAAGTCTGAAAACTAAAATAATGAGTCTCTACTTTTTTTTTTAGTCACAGGATTTCAAGGAAAGTCTGAAAACTAAAATAATGAGTCTCTACAATAACATGATGGCTCTCAATATATTTTGCCATTACCATTCAGGGCTTAGGGTAGTTCTGAGTTTATAAAACTCAATATTACAATAACACAAGAATTTGATTTGGGCAAAATAAAAAAAACTTGTTTAAATGTCAACAATGCAAGCAGGAATATACACTTCTTGAAGCACACTGATGTACATAATGTTCACTTACACACAGTTTAGATATTGCGATGCATTTTAAAATGGAACATAAGACCGTGCATTTCTGGTCATGGACACCCTACACATAAGCACAGGCATCAATGAATAGAACTTAGAAAAAGTGTTGCAATCAACAATCATATATCACCAACAAACATTTATCACTTTACACTGGGCTTTCACACATCTCTCATAAACTCATAACAAACCCCCTATGTGAGGTAGGATACTATTTTACCCACTTCAGAAAGGTGAAAGCTGAAGTTCATGCAGACAGATTAAGTGACGACCATTGTTCAACAAGCGGGAATTCTAAGACAAGATCTACTGGCACTTACGTCTACTAAGATAATTAAATCACCTACTTAACAAAATCCAAAAAAGCCTACTGAAAATAAGATAATACTTTCTTCCAATAGCAGCCGGAAATATCTAGAGCAGAAATATCTGCACCCCAATAAAAGTCATAATTCAAAAAGGAGAATGGAAGAATTTTCTTGTTCTATAATTAGGGTCAGAAAGAGAAACTCTTGGAATCAAGGGTCATTATGGGAAAAAGAGACAATGCTAAGAATGATTCTTACTCTTTTGAAAAGATACCTGTGCAGCAAAGCTAACTAAGCTTTTAAGGCATGTGGATTTATTACTTCAAATATCAAGTTGCAACCTTATTCTGCAATAAACGGTAGCCAAATATGCAAGGGACAAGACTGATTACATGTGCACACCCTTGTTTTCCTCACCAATCTTTTTGTCATCAACTATGTTCAAATAATTTCAACATCTAAAGGGTAATAACTGACCTAAAAAAGGAACAGAAATAAATTCAATAACCAAGAAAAGTATGCTTTGAAAAACGCATTCTTATGCCTATCAGAATGGCTAAAATCAACAGAAGAAAGAATAAATGTTTGTACGATGTGGAGAAAAAGGAACACTGGCACACTGTTGGTGGGAATGCAAACTGGTGTGGTCACTCTGGAAAACAGTGGGAGGTTCCTCAAAAACTGGAAAATAGAATTACCCTACAATCCAGCAATCACACTATTCAATATTTACCCAAAGAATATAAAAACACTAGTTAAAGGGATCCATGAAGCCTTATGTTTATAGCAGCATTATTACAAGAGCCAAATTGTGGAAGCAGCCCAAGTGTCCATCAAGTGATGAATGGATAAAGATGTGGTCTATACAGACAATGGAATATTACTCAACCATAAAAAGAATGAAACCTTGCCATTTGCAACTACATGGATAGAGCTAGGGAGTATAATAATGGTAAGCTAAATACGCCAGTCAGAGAAAAACAAATACCACATGATTTCACTCATGTAGAACTTATGAAACAAAACAAGCAAAGGGGAAAAAAAATAGAGACAAACCAAGAAAGAGACTCTTAACTATGGAGAACAACTGATGGTGACCAGAGGGGAGGCAGGTGGGGAGATGGGTGACATAGGTGATGGGGATGAAGGAGTGCACTTGCTGTGATGAGCACCAGGTGCTGTATGGAAGTGCTGAATCACTATACTGTACACCTGAAACTAATATTACACTGTGTGTTAACTAACTGGAATTAAAATAAAAACTTTAAAAAATTCGTACTTAATTTACATCTATTGATGCAAAAAAATGTTTTAGCTTCAAGAAATGTTAAGGATCTGTGATCAACTCTGATAACAATAAGTTTAAAAACATCTCTGGATCACAACCATAATAATCATGTCTACAAAAACCAAGGTTTTATCTGAGAGGGGCTGGTGATGTAGAAGCATAATACCAAGGTAACAATAATACTTATGTTTCCTACAAGTTACAGATATTGAATTAAAAATAAGCTTAAACTTCCACCTACTTACTAATGTATTTATGAAAACAGTAATCTTTATATGCTGTGTTTATCAGACATCTTCAAAGAATCCTCAAAATATTTTTAAGCACCACTGGAGAGCTTAGCTAAATAAATCTGAGTCAGAACAGAGCAACGACTCAAAGAATTACTCATCTGGCAATTACTCATCCTGTAAATTAAGAGCTAACAACAAAACTGCAACTCTCTAGTCAAATCTATGTATCTAGCAGGGCACAATGCACTTCACATGGGAAAAGGAAATTCCTCCAAATTTCTAATAAAAAGACTTAAGCATACATAAAGGAAAAGATGATAAATTAATAAAAGGAAAAAAAAAACAAACCCTGAAGAAAGTCAAGAACAAATCACCCAGGAAGACAGCTGACCTGAACAGTCTGTATCTGTGGTGACTGAATAACCGATGGCTGTGGTGTGTGAATTACTCCCTGGACATGTACAGTCTGGTCCGAAGGTAACTGTACTAGAGTTACAGCAGGGGAGCCTCTTCTGGTGCCTGATCCAGCTACAGAAACCTGCAAAAATGATCACCACTGAGGATTAAGGCTGGCTCATTTTCTGTTTTGTTTTGTAAAAGAAATACCATTCACTATTATGACGGGCCATTTTTTCCTTTCTTTCTCCTGCTTCTAAGAAATGACAGGCACACTGGGCTACTTACCATTAGGAGGTGGTTACTGTCCTGGAACAGTCATTCTCTGATGTGATAGATATTAAAGAACCCATGCGCCTCACTTTCAGTTCCCATGCTTCGATGGCTAAGAATGTTCCAAGCACAAAGTTCTAAAGCAGTTAAACTACCTCACTACGACCTCACGACTATTAACAGTGAATCCTTATTAGGCCAGAGTATAAACTACCCTCTTCAACCTCCTGAGAGAAATTGGAGACAGAACTTAAATATGGTAAATTATTTTTTAATAAATGAAATGTTCAAAATAGGATATTCTGGTATTACTCCAGATGCAAGCTAATGCCTTGTCTTTTATACTAATGAATATCACAGTTACTTTTATGCCCCCATAATCACAAAAAAGGCACAGGCCAGAGGAATTCCAAGGACTTCTCATGCCCTTAATGTGTCTAATCCAGGGAAAATGCATGCCTTAGATCTGGGATGTCCCTCTTACAGCTTTCCTTCCTGCTACCTCCAGCATCTAGAGAAAAGGCCAAAACCATCCCTTGGCTTGTACAAAGTACAACCATCTCCCAGTACCCCTGAGCGCTTTCAACAGAGATCCCTACCAGCAAAACACAGTACTTCGACCCCCTGGATTCAAAACCTGCCAAGTTTGCTAATTAGTCAACAATCCTACGGGCAGGCCAGTGTAATCTTAGAAACTTTGCCTCATTTTACTGTTTCACTCACTATTCATTATGACTTACTCAAGAGTCAAAGACTTTGGAAATGAAATAAGTGAAATAAACTACCAGTTTCTACCATGAATGGTAGAACCACAAGCTCTAAAACAAACTTTGAAGGAAGCCTCTGTATAGGGCCTCATTTTAAGAAACACCAATGATTTCCAATCTACTTATACTTTAAAACAATTATTAAAAACTGGGCTTATAACAAATAATTATAAGATTTATTTATAAGATCATTTCCTTTAGAAAGCAAGCTTCTTTGGTAATCCAAAAGTAAAAATCTTTCATCCATACAAGAGAACCTGTGTGATGAGCATTGTACTAGGTGCACTAGGGTAGAAAGTAAAATTGATAAGACTAACCCCTAAGAAACAATAGCACATCAAGCAGTATAGAACGAATTGCTCCATTGTACAGCCCAGGAAAGTCATGGGCATACAGAACAGAAAGATCAGAATGAGTCTGAACAATAAGTACAGGCTTTGTGTAGAAGCCACAGCTTGAGCTAGGCCTGCATAATAGAAAAGGGCAGAGACACCCAACATATATAGCCCAAGGGGCAAGTTCAGCCCACCTGCCCCTGGAGTATTTTTGTCTACCTTAGATTTTAGGGGAAAGAAAAAGATTACACCATGGTAGAATACATTTAACAACCAGAAGTTTAAAAAACCCCAAAAAACAACAACAAAAAACAATGGAAGGATTTATTCTAGAAATGACAAAGCAGCACAAAAGATAAATCTGTGTGAATAATAAAAAGGCATCCACCTCTTTGTGGACCAATTACCAAAAGGTACT